CCTCTCCCTCACCTCCCCACTGCACCTTCTCTCCCCCCACCTACCCTCCTACCCCTCCCCCAGTGCCGGCGGCCACCCCTCCCCCACCTGGCCTCAGCCTTCCAGAACCCCGCCAAGCCCCAACTGGAGGTTGTGATCTGAGAGCACCTCCTGTTCTTAAGCAGTTGGTCCTGGGGTCCGGCTCCTCCCTCTGAGTCAGGGTTCCTCTCCGGATGGAGGCCCCCGCTCCCCGCCACCGATCCCGAATCCTGGGGCGCTCCTCCATGTTCCGCTTCTTCCGCAGCCTGGTGGGGGGCAAGAGCCGCCCACAGTGCTCGGCCAAGGGCCGCGCCTGCCCCTCTGCCGAGCGGGACCCTGTGTCCCCGGGGATGGGCTGCCAACCAGGAGAAGAGAGGAAGGAGCCCAGGGCACCCTCCACTGTTCCCTGCTCTCCCCCCAAGGCCACACCCCAGGGCTCCCTTCGCCTGCCCCAGCTGGGTCAGGAGTGCCTGGGAATGGGGGACGTGTGGGCCCAGAACCTTGCCCCCACGATGATCCTGTGGGCAGGGGCCCAGGACCAAGAGGTGGAGCCCGGCCTGGCCAGAGGCCACCCATCTGAGAAGGAGGACGAGGAGGAGGAGGCCGCAGCAGTGAGGCAGGCCTCCAGGAATACACGGGCCTCCGTCAGGTGTGTGTGTGTGTGGGGGGGGGCTGTGGGAAGAACCCCCCGGGAAAGGGCCTGGGATATAAGATGGAGGAAGGCTATGGGACCCAAGTTGAGGGTCCAGGGATAGGTGTCCTTGGAGGGGTAAAGGGCAGCACAGGGCTACCTGGGAGGGGGCAGCAGGGACTGCCAGTGGGACAAGGGTCTTCCAAGAGAGGAAGAGGGAGGAGCCAGAGAAGCAGATATGCCGAAATGGCCTCCTCTCCCGCCCCACCTGGCCTCTTGGCCCAGGGCCCCTCTACTCTGCCTCCCCTTGCCCCCTGCAGCCCGCTAGTTCCCAGGTGCATGTGCAGAAGGGAGATTGGCCTCCCCACCCACTCCTCACAGGACTGCTGAAGGGCACCCCCAGGGCAGAGCCAAGAGCTTTGGGGAGAGGGGAAATGGGGGGCTCAGCAAGGCCTCTCACCTCTCCCCGCTGACTTTGCTTTAAAATCAGGGGCCACTTGGCCGAGGCCCTGGAGGAGCAGCCGGAACCCCTGCAGAAGGCTGTGGGGCCCCTGGAGGTCAGCCCCAAGGCCTTGCCCAAGGAATCCGAGGAGGGTCTGTCTGACGGTGAGTGTGGCTGTCTCCCTCGGGCGTCTTGGGGGTGGGCAGGGGGCCCTTCAGGACACAGCCAGAGGACCTGGGTCTGATTCAAAACCGCCAGCCGCTCTGGGGGAGAAAAAGTTGGCTTTCTGCTCCCGTCAAGAGTGAGCGTCTCAGAAACCCACAGGGCAGTTCTACCCGGAGTGGGCATGGGCTCGGGGGCAGGGGCGTGTGCCGTGGTGGTGGTCAGTGGCCCAATGTCTCCGTCCCCTCGCGCATGCGGTATTATAGCACCTTCTCAGAGAGTTGCCCCAAGTACGAAATGAGATGTTACTTGTTAACGGGCCTAGATTAAAGAGAGCTGCACGTGCCTCCCCTCCTGGGGTCCCCCTAGCCCCCCCGCCCCTGACTCCCAGCCCTTCATAGGAGACCTCAAGCAAGCGTCCTTCAAGGCAGGGGTCACTCTCTGGAACCATCTTCTCAGCCTGTACAAGGAGCTCCAGAAACCAGCCGTGGCCAAGGTCTGCAGGGACCAGCCTGAGGCCGTGCGGGTGGGAGTGAGGCCCTAGGGGGGACCCCACCCCTGTCCCAATCTGGCTGGGCCCCCAAGGGGGCGCGGGGGGGGGGGCTCTTTCTTAACCCTTCGAGATCCCTGCCCATCCTGAGGAGGGGAGCTGCAGGTGGAGCATCTCGGCCCTCCTCACCAACTCAGGCACCTGGCCGGCGCGCTCCGTTCCCTCCCAAGGAAGGCTTGGCCCTGGAGAAGGAGAAAGGGGGCGACGAGGAGACGGAAGAGGACAGCGTCTTTAACTTCTGTGTCCCCGGCATCGTCCCTCTCCAGTCGCCGCTGCATAAGACCTTTCGGTCGACAGATACCGTGGGTAAGTTCGGGGCCACTTCCTTCAGCAACGTGGCCCTCCTACAACCAAGGGAGCCAGCCCCGCAGAGACGAACGGTCAGGGTGCGATTCCAGTACTTACCACCAGGTGGTGCCAGACGACCACCCCAGACAGGCCACCTACGCATTGCCTTGGATGCCCTGCTAGGTGTAACCTGCAAGAGAAGGGGTCTCCCTGCTCCGTCTAAGAGGTAGCAAGGTGGGGGCCTGTGATGGGGCAGAGGCTCCTGCAGCACCCACCTTTCTTCAGCCTGCATTAGGTGGGCCAGAGGCTGCTGCCTACCGGGGGAAGCTTCCTGCATGCCTGATTTTCCCATCATGCATTGCTGACAGGTCCCGCGCAGCCCCTCCCTGCAGCATCTCACACAAGGAGGGCAGCTGGTTCACATCCTAAGGGCACTGCTGGCATTCCTATACAAGAGGGCTCCCCAAAACTGGTGGGGGAATTCCGTCATCTCTTTATGGGACTTTCATTTTGATGCTGCCTTCTTACCCGAAGCAATGGGCCAGACCCGGATCTAAATGCTTTTCACATGATATAGACCGGCCCCCCTGTGAGGTGGGTCCAGCCCCTGCAGTGTGTAAGCCAAGGCACAGAGAGGGTCAGCCGTTTGTCCAAAGTCACACGGCCAGTAAGTGGCCGAGCTGGCCCTTGTCCCAGGCTGTTTGGGTTCAAACCTAGATTTATGCTCTTGAGCTGGCGGCCGGAGGTGGGCACCGGTCTTCCTACTTGGGGAAGGCCTCTGGAACGCGAGCGAGCTTCCGCAGGCAGGCCGGGTGGCAGGGAGCCCCTAGATGGAAGGAGGAAGGGCTACCGAGCAGAGGTGTCTCAGAGCTGGGGTGAAATCCAGAGAGCGGGAGGGAGCGCCCTCTCTCCTGTGGGTCCCCGGCAGGGGACACTGCTCTTCTGTTGTGCCCCGCCCACCTCTCTGGCTGGCAGGCTTTGTGGAGTCGGAGCTGAAGATGCTGCTGGCCGTGCGGCGCGAGTCCCGCCTCTGGAAGATGGGCGCCCAAGAGGGCCGGGAGCTGCTGGCCCAGCCAGAGATCACCCTGGAGGAGGCGGGCATTGTGGATGGCCAGGTCCTGCCCCACCCCGCCCCACCCGGGTCCCTCCCCCTGCTCAAGGGCCCTGGGGAGAGTGGGGTGGAGAACTCTATCTCCCCAGGGCCTGGCCCCTGGCTCCAGGGACCCAGTGTCAGGGTGTGCATGTCTAACAGCCATGCATGCTGGTTCTGTTCACTGATGACCGCAAGGTCAGCAGTTCTGAACCACTGGTCGCCTCGGCGGCCAGAGGATGGCAGGGCTTTCTCTTCCCACAAAGAGTCACATCTCGGAAGCCCACTGGGCCGCTCTACCCTGGCTGTGGAGCCCCTACGAGCTGGCAGCGGCTGGGCGGCAGTGGGTTGGTTGGCGGGCTGCCATGCACCTGCTGCATGGCCTTGGACAGGTCCCTTCCTCTCTCTGGGCCTCAGTTTCCTCATCTGGTCTGTGGTGGTGGTGGGGTGCCTCTCTAACTCAAAGAACGTGACAGTTCAGGTCTCAGTCCCACGAACACATGTACCCCACTCCCACAGACACATGGATGCAGGGGGATGACCCCACTGGCTGGGGTCCGGGACCACCCGCCTGCCTGCTCACCCACTACACACACACACACACACACACACACACACCCCGACACCGGTGGTAAGGGTCCTTTCCCTGACACACACACACACACA